TAAAAAAAGAACAGAGGTGTGAATTTGACATTCACACCATCACCAAACAATTCAGAAACATTTAGCCTTCGAAAATGAAAACAATTAGCAGTGTGTAAGGGCTGTGTAATTTCCTGTTTGTCCGACGCTTCGTTTTCGTGTCACTGTCAAAATTATTGCTACCTTTTACCTCAGACTAGTATTACTAGTCTGAGCTTTTACCTAACAGGGACTAAATGGTCTCTATAAAACGATAATCAGGATCGCAAAAAAGTCAACACTTGCCGGACGTCTCTCTCTCTTCTGAAATCCACCTCGGTGATCATGGTCCGGAATCTATTTCTTTCAAAAGTGTTGCGCCAGGTTTATGTTGTCGACGTTGTTTTTTCATGGACGACGACAGTTTCTCCAAAAAAAAAAAAAAAGAATCTGAGGTTAAGTGGCTTTCGTCCACTGATGTCGCACCTTCGGGTCGATTAAAAGAGTGTGAGTACTTACACTATGACTATACATTTCACTGCAACTGCCCACAACACAACATCTAAAAACTCTCTCTCAAAAAATTAAAATAGTCAAAAAAAAGAAGAAAAAAACGCCGACCAAAAAATAAATATCGTTTGAAAGTATACTGAATGACCAGTGTTATTACGGCTCAGGGATATGACTTCCTCTCACATTTTGGCATTTGGTGGCGCACTTTCAGCGAGAGTCAGAAATCCGGAAACAGTCGACCGTTTCAGGATAGGTGGGCGTGGCTACAATACGAGAAATATCCTAAATTTACTTGGATACGGATAATCATTTTCGGCAAAAAAATCAATAACTGCCCATTTCAATGGGACACAGATCTAAAATGGGAAACGTGAGGGTGGGCATTGCACAGGCACTTTAAATTAGACTTTATTTTAGGCATCAGGAAAGATTGAAATGTCCGAAAAAGACGCCAAAATATTTAAAAAAACAACTTTAAAAACTGCTGAAAAATCGCCCTGTTTAACGACCCAGGGCGAATTTATGACAGAATCCAGTATAATATTGTGCTTGCTTTAGTTGTGGTTTATCAATATTTATATTTCAATTTACTTTAGTTTTCGAGAAGAAGAACCGCCAGAATTTTATGCATTACAACAAAAAGAATGGGATCCAGTGTTAGAATGGGTCAATCGAAGATATGAAGTCAACATAGAAAGTACTACTAGCTTAATGGGGCCAGAAATAACACAGAAAACACAAGATAAATTCAAACAACATCTTCTGAGTTATAACAGTTGGGCAATTGTTGGTAAATATACTTTTATTCCAAATTAAATTATTAAATTTCAAACTGTGTTCTCCAATTTGATTTTTTCATTGATGATCCTTGTTTTTAAGAATTTGACACGTTGAGGGCGATATACAAGTTGAAATGCACATTTTGCTTTTATCTTTGTTACCGGGTAATCTTTATACATTGTTATGTATTTTATGAACAGTTCAAATGTAATTTATTTTTGTCTTTAGTAATTAGTCCCCGTTCGGACGGAGTCCGAAAACGGGGACTTATGTTTTGCCCTGTGTGCGTCCGTCCGTCCGTCCGTGCGTCCGTCCGTGATCACCTGTATCTCGAACATGCATGGACCGATTATGTTCAAACTTCACTCATACATCACACATTATATGGGACATATGCACATGCATTTTTTTCATGATCCGATTAACGATAGCCGAATAGCGGCCATTTTAAGGCCGAAAATGCATCAAAATCGCACATTTTCA